ACCATAAAGTGAATCGCCGCACTAAGGCAATTTCAAAACTTTTTAAGCACACAAACACACAAAAACAATTTAAAAACGAGCAAGTACCTAAGAGCCCGTGGAAAACCACGGACAGAAAGGGTGCTAACACCTTCCCTTTCTATAATCTATCCCCCGCACTCAGAAAACTCTCGAAAAAGGTTTTTTTCTATTCTTTTTTTACCTTTCCTTTTTTGGATAAAATAAAAGACGGTGGCGACTCTTGCTTACCGAACATTTGTGAATGCAAACTCAAAACCAGTATTAAACAGTCGGTTCTGCCACTGTATCACACCACCTCTCTATGAAGGCCGATACCAAATTTTGGTCTATCCTTGACAAATTGGTTCTCTGGAGAGAGGATAGACCAGAGTCAGTCAATCAAGTTTGTATTACAGATGAGAGCATGTGCGGAATCCATCCTATCAATCTGTTGCCATGTGCAACAACCTTTTACTCTTTCTTCGGTTGTCTCTCCTGAAAACAATTTATAGTATAGATGTTATATAATATATAAGTACTTACAAATAAAAATTATTCAATATAACATGATAGAGATTAACTTACCTCATTGAACCATAAATAGCAAGCAACGTGGCCCTGATACCTCGCCAGAAGAGACATATTGGTCGTTCCTCGAGGGAACGCTGGCTGTTATGGACCCGCCTCAGGCTGTTGATGTCCCTCTCCATCGTCCACCGCCCGTCAATGTTTTCGTCCTTCAACGCTTTGTCGCATACTGTTGTTGCTCGAGCCTCCTCTTCTGCGAACCACTAAAAATAAACAAAAAATTAAATAAAAACAGAACCGATAATGCATTAATATGTTATCTGAAATAAGGAAGCAAGAACCGAATAACAGGGCTAGACATTATTCGGTTGGTAAATATGAAAATCGGAGAACCCACGAATGTGTTATCCGATTTGTCTTTTCTTTTTTTGTGTAAACCGAAGTACTTACTGATGGGTTATTCAGAGTGTTACGATGTAAACCGGATTTGAGACACTTTCGTCCTCTGGTTTGTGTTTTTAGGAAGTTTCGGAAAGTGTATTGTTGTGTTCTCCGGTTGTTGCTCTCTCGGTCTTTTAAAGTGAAATGAGAAAAAAATGAATATTTTTTAATGTGAAATTATACAAGAGTATTTTTGTCCAAAATTTTTATTTGTAGGGGTTGGGGGATAACTGCAAGGATAACGGGGTAAAATTTTCTTTTTCTCAATTAGCAAAACATTCCTATGAAAAAATGATGTTAATTATAATACAACAGTAAAGGAGATTTTTCTGAATACTGTATCGACAATTAGAATGTTTTCACTACAATGTGTGTTAACTTCGTGAGTATCTCAAACTGCTCAATGTTTGATAGTTATGATCGATTGTGTTAAAATATTAAATTATATTTGTTAAAATATTATATTAGTTTAGATTTAATATTTAAATATGATTCAAGTTGTGTAGACCAAAACCCAATTAGGGTTATATATAAATAGTCCTAGTCTGTATCATTATTTGTACAATCCAATAATACAAAATCCTTATTTCCTTTATTATTCCCTCTTTCTCTCCTCACTAAATGTGCCTCAAGCACTAACAAACTGGTATCTAGAGCTTCCGGTTATTATTCTTGATTAAGTTTTCAAGAATTTCACGTCAGAGATCGTGTTTTTGGGGCAAGTGAATCAACCGCTGCGAAGATGGCTAGTGATAAGGGCATTCTGAATTCTCTTACAATGCTTGAAGGAAATAATTGGATCCGATGGAAAAAATAGATGCAATCATTATTTGGCTTCCATGAAATCCTAGAAGTGTTTACCGATGGTGTTCCTGTATTGGGTGCAAATGAAACCGACGAACAGAAAAAAGCCCACAATAATGTCAAGAAGAAAGATTGTAAGACTGCTTATTGCATTAAGACGGCGGTCGATGCTGCTAATTTCGATAGAATCTCTCATGTTGAAAAGGAGAAGGAGGCATGGGATATTTTGGTTAAGTATTACGAAAGAGGTGAGAAAGTCAAGGTTTTCAAGCCTAAGACCTTAAAGAAATAGAGTTCTTCCAACAAGACTTCATGATTATGAAGTGGTGGGTAATGATGAAATCACACCAGATGGAGAATTAGTTCATTTTGCTTTACTTGCAGGTGCTGAACTAATTAACTATAGCAAAGCTTTGAAGACTAAACAATGGAAGTTAGCTATGACCAAAAAGTTACAGGCAATCGAAAGAAATAACACAAGGGAGTTAGTCGAATTGCCAACACATACAAAAGTTATCGAAGTAAAGTGGGTATTCAAGTTGAAACATAATGATGATGGCTCGATAGGAAGACATAAAGCAATATTAGTAGCTCGAGGTTTTCTTCAAAGAGAAAGACTGGACTACTCTGAAGTATTTTCTCCAGTAGAAAGATTGGAGATTGTTCGACTAGTGGTAGCATTGGCATGCAACTAAGGCTGGTCGACATTTCATTTAGATGTGAAATCAGCATTTCTGAATGGTCCTTTAGACGAAGAGGTCTATGTCACACAACCTCCAGGGTTTGTGATTCAAAAGGAAGCGAGCAAAGTATATAAGTTGCACAAAGCTCTCTATGGCCTCAAGAAGGAACCTAGGGAATGGAACAAGAAGATCGACTCATACTTAGTCGAATTGGGATTTATCAAATGCAAATCTGAGTATGGTGTCTATGTTCAGGTTGTAGCACAAGATATAACAATCACCTGCTTATATGTCGATGACTTGATAGTAACTGGAAATAACTTGGAGAACTTGTCGAAGTTTAAAGAGTTGATGATGAAGGAATTTGAAATGTCTGATCTAGGAAATTTATCTTATTTCTTAGGTATGGAATTTCAAATGTCGAAGCAAGGTATAATGTTACATCAAAGGAAGTATGTCAAAGAAATACTCAAGAGATTCAGAATGGATAATTCGAGTCTTGCATCCTCACCTATCGAACCAAATGTTAAATTGGAGAAGAATAAAGAGGAAGACAAAGTCGATATAATTTTGTTCAAGCAAATTGTGGGATCTCTGAGGTATGTGTGCAGCAGTCGACCTGATATAGGTTTCGTTGTAGGATTAGTAAGCAGATATATGAGTGAACCAAGAGTGTCACATATGAAGGCTGCAAGAAGAATCCTAAGATATTTGAAGGGTTCGATATACTGTAGAATACTATTTCGACGAGATTCTGAAGACAAAGAAGCAATAGTTAATTGTTTTTCAGATGCTGATTGATATGCAGATAAGAAAGATAAAAAAAGCACAACTGGATATTTCTTTCAAGTATTTGGTGCCCCAATCTCATGGTGTTTGAAGAAACAGCCTGTGGTGGCATTATCATCTTGTGAAGCTAAATATATAGCAGGATCCTATGTTACATGTCAAGAAATTTGGATCAGATCTGTACTTGAAGAAATGAAGGTCAAAGTGAAGAAACCTCTTGTATTGTAAATCGACAACAAGTCAATCATAAATCTGGCGAAGAATCCAGTTCTGCATGGAAGAAGTAAACATATTGAAGCAAGATTTCACTTCTTGAGGGAAAAGATAAATTAAGGTGAACTTGAAGTAAGGCATTGCTCAAGTGAAGCACATTTGGCCGATATTTTCACCAAAGGATTGAAGATTGACAAATTCCTGAATTTGAGAAAGAAATTAGGAATAGTTCATATTGATTATTTTTAAGAATGTTCAACAACTTGGATTATGGGTGTGTGTTGAAATATTAAATTAGATTTATTAAAATATTAGATTAGTTTAGATTTAATATTTAAATATAATCCAAGTTGTGTAGACTCAGACTCAATTAGGGTTGTATATAAATAGTCTTAATTTGTATCATTATTTATACAATTCAATAATACAAAATCCTTATTTTCTTTATTATTTCATCTTTCTCTCATCACTAAAAGTGCCTCAAACACTAACCGATTGAAGTACTTTGTTCTTATACGTAGTATTTTGCTGGCTAAACTCTAAGAAATATTTGCCAAAAGGTACAAATAAATTATCAAATTTTCAAATAGTTGCTCATGAGCTATTAAACATCTCAACATTTTCTTTCTGTAAGACTGCAAATTACATTGGAGAAGGTGGAGTTGTTTCTGATTATGTATTTTACTAGAAACTGGTAATCTATGACTAAGAAAATTAAAGGATAAACATAAAATCTATTATTTCATCTTCTGGAGAATGATTCTCAATACAGAGGAAGTTGTAATGAAAACTACAGAGATACAAACAGACAAATCTGAGAGAATAACGGGTATCAGAAATACATTTTCGAGAACAATCGAAAGTGCACTTTCAAAATATAGTTAGTCGTAATATAAGACAAATCTCAAAAATGATTGTATTATATATGTAAAGTGCTTATGAAAATACACTTATAAAATTTAGAATATTTTTAAAATTTCATATGATACGCGAGAAAAGCATAGAATGCATTAAAAAATCTCCTAAAAAAAATTTAATTGAACTATGTTAGTCTTATAAAATTAGATATTGAACATTCTTAAAATAAGTTGTTTGAAAAAATTACATTATGATTGATAAACAAATGCTCTTTCAAAAATATTTTATTTAGCATATTTAGGAACTCTTTAATTTTGTTAAATTATTTTATGTTTTCTTGCTTTTAGGTTTTAAAATTTCTTTAAAATAGTTGGTATTTCTGTCTAAGGTACTATTTTCAGAATGTCTCATAAAATATTTTTTTGGTGAAATATATATTTTTTTAAAAAAAACCTAATTCTTTGTCTTTCTATAAAAAATAACGTCTAACTTCTTTTCTTTATTTTGTAAGCATTAAATAAAAAACTTTCTCTTAAAAAATAAATCCGAGTTTATTGGACCCAAAAAAAAGTTATTTGATTACTCTATAAGAAAACGTAGGGTAAAAAAAAAAAAAGTTAAACCTGAATAAATTTATAAAAGTGTAACCTGGTGGTTAGGATTTTTATAAGACGGCTGGAAGCAATGGCAAAAAAGAAGGCGCTGCTACGGAAGAAACAACCCGAACCACGGAGGAAACAACCCGAACCACAGAGGAAGAAACAAGGTCAAGTATCAGTAGATGATCTTCCGTTGGATCTGGTGGAAGAAATCCTTTGTAGACTCCCCGTGAAAAAACTCATTCAACTCCGTTGCGTGTGCAAGTCATGGAATTCCCTTTTCTCTGAAAATTCTAGTTTCGCCAAGAAGCACCTCCGCTGGTCAACCTCAAAACAATCCCGCCACCATCTCTTCGTAAAGTCAGGTAACTTTGTCGATTTACAATCCCCACTTTCCACTATCTTCACCTCAAGAGACGTTACAATGTCCGTGTACTCTCTAAGAGCGATTCTTAAAAAAGGAGAATCTGATCGTGATGGTGGTGGTTATGTCTCCACTTGTGACGGCATCATATGCTATACGATAGATGCTTCTACGGCTGCGGCTCTTTTGTTTAACCCTTCTATTAGAAAATTCATAATATTGCCTCCTTTGGAATTTCCAGACCTACCGAGTTTTAATATCTTATATACATTAGTGTATGATCGTTTCATTAATAATTATAAGGTTATTGCTCGTATTGACCATTATACCAAAAGTCATGTCAGTGTTTATACTTTCGGTACACATCATTGGAGAAGGATTCAAGACTTTCCAAGTCCTGACCAATTATTAGTGGACAAATATTCAAATTTCGAACTTATGTGTTCATCTACCGGAATATTTGTCAACGACTCTGTTAATTGGTTGACATCCCAGTTCATTGTTTCTCTTGATTTGGAGAATGAGTCGTATCAAAAGCTTTCACTACCCGTCTCTAATGTTCGATTCGGGACATTGAGGGGTTGTTTAATTACCTTAGGGACATTGAGGGGTTGTTTATCCCTTCTTATTCCCATGATGGACACGGACACTTTTTCTGATATTTGGATTATGAAAGAATTTGGTAATCAAAACTCTTGGACTAAATTGTTAAGTATTCCTTACTTGAAAGCATGGGGCCGTTTTCGCTATAGCAAGGTATTATATATTTCAGATGATGACCAAGTGCTCATGGAGATTTTTATATGTAGAAAATTACAATATATCTTGGTTGTTTATGATTCCATAAACAATACTTTTAATTTTCCCGAATTTCAAGACAAGATCCATAATTGTATACCTGTAATTTATGTTGAGAGTTTGATATCACCTTTTTAGATCTTGTACTAGGTGAGCTCAACAGCCTATAAGTTAACTAATTTTTCTGTTTTTTTTTTTATTTTTTTATTTTATGCTTAGGTTCATGAGTAGTGACTTTACTTTTAATTAACTTATGATGTATGGAATATGCCATTTGAGAAATTGCTATGTTATTTTTCATTTATTTGTTAGTTAGAATCGTCGGTTTTGTCTCCATTCATTATATTTTATATAGTAAACAATCATTCAAATCTTCCACCATAGATTATAAATTTCTCTTAATCTTTATTCTACTATTCACAATGTTTAGTTTTCTGTCAACCTAAAAAAGAATAATAATAATCAATCAATTCAGCTGTTTTATATAATTCAACAAATAGATTAGGTCGTCATAGTTTCAAAATTACATAAAAGTCCACTTTAGTATAGCTAATTTAATTAACAACAAACAAGTATAATAAAGAAATAAAATGAGTGAAACATATATTATGTGATCTCACTTATAAGAGGTGCACCATGTCACCTATAATATTACAGTACAAGTCATCATATTGATGACAATGTAGTCTTTTTTGGTCTTCTCTCTACATGTCTAAATCATCTAAGTCTATTTTTCACCATCTTCTCTACTATAGACGTTATCCCGATACTCTTAAATATTTTCATTCAAATATTTTTCATAAATATATCTAATGTAGAATTATGGTACAGGATATCATAGGGTCTTTTGACCCATATCACATAGTCCACCTAGAGGGAAAAGGGTTTGTTTGTTGTTGTTTCATGTTTCTTCTATTTAAATATGGAATTTGGATTGAAGTAACATAAATCCGCTCATTCATGATGCTCAACCTTAGGTCTTTTAGTGTCACTTGTCAATATCTTCGTGGTTTCATAGCTAAATCACTTATCTACTTTTACCATTGCTACATTCCTTTTTTCAGTCACTTTAAAAAAAAATAGACATTACCATTACACCTGAAGGCTTACAATTGCATGTAAGGTGGAAGAATCCTGCTGGAAAATCATTTACATATCAGTGATACCACGCTCCAGAGACTTTCTTCATGGCATCAAATTTATGGGGCCTACCAAAGAACACCTCATGCATGCCCTTCTTGCCAAACCCGACTCATTTTTTGCCAGCAAATGCAGGATGTTTAGTTCTTTCTGTCTTTGTTGGCCATCAGATTTTGGGCAGTTTCACGTTGTGGTGAGTAAGACCTTTCATTTGGCTAATTCTTTATAAACTGGTCATGACCTTTATCTGCCAGAGTTTCTCCTCAACGTGTAGGATCTCCTCTCTAGCCATCGGGGGCACACTCGTTAAATTATTGGGAAAAAAATTTAAATATGTTGATAGTGTTGATGTAAGGCTGCAGCTAATATGTTAAAGATAAAGGGAAAAAACAGGTATGCCAATAGGCTGCATAATTTTGGAATCACAGACGTCCCAATGCAATAAAATGTAAATTGCCAACAGGATGCATACGTTTGGAATCACCGACGTCCGAATGCAATAAAATGTAGAAATAATGAAGCAATTGTTATGGCTTGCCTGTACTAATGAAGGATTATAGCGCAACTTCAATGATGGAAAGGTATGACCAGCTTCCGATGGAGAAATCTGAACGAGGATGTCGGAAAACCTGGTATCTTGTTTTATCCAATTGACATACGTGATAACGTCTTCTGATGGCCCACTATACTGGAATAATATATCACATAGAAAAGGATTAGAAGCATGTCATATATTTTCAATGCCCATTTTAAAAGGATTGATTATACAAATTATAAATACATGCGCATTAATCCCTTGTTCATTCAAATAAATTCTTCCATTAATGTCTACACCCTGGAATTCAATTCAGATAAAGAAAAGTATAGTAACAAATGTATGAACTCTACATTATATACAAATAGAAAGCTCTAGAAAGCAAACCTCCAATTCCAAGAAAGAGAGGTGTTTGGCGACTAGTTCTTGTGGATTTTTGATCAACACAAAATGATAGAAATTAACGGCAATAAAATCCCTTGAACTTGACCGTGCTTGTTGTACTTGAGTAGCCCACTCCGAGTTCCGATGAATAACAAGAGCGAAGTTGTTGAATTTTAATTTTAAGAAAGCCTTTTGAAATTCAAACTCTCCGCTTTTATTTTTATTATTGTCGCACCACCTCGTAACAATGTTATAACCTCGTAAACCTACAGGACTAGGAGGAGCGAGTGACAATGTCATACCCTCGCTGCACAACCTCATCCTCCCCGTTAACACTTATAACTTATCACACCACCAAAATACCAAAAAGGACTCAACTTTTTATCAAGCTGTTGTGTAGTACATCTCTAATAATAATGCATTAGATTAGACACATTAGGTTATTACTATCTAATTTATTGTAAATATTGTTAGAATAATAATGCAAGTGTGAGTAAAGGGGAAATAGTCTCACATTGGATTAGAATGTGGAGACTTGAGCATATATAAGTGAAAGAATTCACTCACCTATCACCTTAAGGTTTTAGGTGGATAAGTGGTGTGTCTCTCACAAAGGTGTCTAATCCTCAACTTTGTATCAATGCTCTTAGTAACTCCCCCTAACAAATGGTATTTGAGTCTGGTTTGAGAAAGGGACCGACTTAGTATCAAAATGCCCAAGAAGAGGTGTTACATTGAAAGGTGTCAACGATGGTACAAGCGGGGGAGCATTGTGGACTCACACTTGAGGGGGAGTGTTAGAATAATAATGCAAGTGTGAGTAAGTGAGGAAATAGTCTCACATTGGATCAGAAATGTAGAGACTTGAGCATATATAAGTGGAAGAACTCATTCACCTGTCACCTTAATGTTTTAGGTGGATAAGTGGTGTGTCTCTCACAAAGGTGTCTAATCATCAAATTTGTATCAATGTTCCTAGCCTAAACTCCCCCAACAAATATTACAATTAAAAGGGGAAATTACAGTGACATCCATTTTTAAATTTAAAATAAACATTGGCAATTTCTCTTTCCACCCTATAGTGAAAAGAAAAATCTTATGCATTTCCTAAATTGCCCATTGAAACCGAAAGTATATTTCTGTTGCGCACCATATATCACACACAAATAGATCAAATGTGGTTCCACCCTATTTAAAAGAGAAAATCAGAATCGGAAATATACTTCCGGTTGCACCTGAAATTTTATTTCTGGTTTGTATAGCGGGAATATTGAATTTTCTACCACCTTGTAATTTTATGTATTATCAGAAATATACTTCTGGTAATATGAAATATATATAATAATTAAAACAGTAACCAGCATGGTCAACATGATCATCTTCATTGCTTCATATTTCCTTAAACCCTCTCAAAAACCCTTCCATTCTTAATCCATTTTTCACTCCAAATATTCATTGTTGTGGTTCATCATATCAAAAGGAGCTCAAGAAAGTGGAATTTAAGATAAAGTTTCTTTATTTCAATCCTCATTCTTCACATTAATATGATTTTCATTCTGCTAAAGTTACACTTAAATCAGAAATATATTTTCGGTTAGTAGTTAAACAATAGTGGAAATGTATTTCTGGTTCCTGGGAGTACTTTATTTTCCAGCAACTGTGTGTTAATTAGTTTAATTTTTTATCGCATAAGGTATGGTGCATCCAGATAATATTCCCAAACCTGATGTGTCTCAATTTGTTCCATCTTTCGTGTCTCCTCTTGTAACTAAGGCGGTAGATATTCGTTATCATTTTGAAATTGAAGAAGAGTTTGGATTACGTGAAGAATGCTACAATGGATTCGTATAGAGGCTACCAAACTAGGGTTTGATGTTGTGATTGGAAGGTCAGATAATGGTACGGATAGAAGATGTGCATTTGTTACTTTGACATGCGAAAGAAGTGGGAAATATATGCGTCGGACCCAAAATTTGAAACACGACGACACTGATTCAAGGAAATGTGAATGTCCATTTAAGTTGTGTGATTATTTGTTGGCAAATAATAAATGGAGATTTAATGTAATATGTGGTTTACACAACCATGATTTAAGTCTACGGTTAGCCGGTCATCCAATTGCATGTCGGCTCCTTCCAGATGAGAAGACACGTGTTTCCAACATGACCTTGGATTTGGTACCGCCCAAAAACATACTAGCAACATTGAAGCGCAATAAACCTGAGAATACATCAAATATCAAGAAAGTGCACAATTTTGGATCAGGTGAAGGAGAAGATTGTCCGTGCATGGACCGACCAGGTTATACACCTTGGGAATACAACAACAAACCAAGTTGAGTCTGCTCATGCATGTCTGAAGAATTGGTTGGGAAATAGCAACGGTGATTTGACTACAGGGTGGGATTCCATGAACCATATGTTACTAAACCAGCATAATGAGATACAAACAACATTTGGTCGTAGTATCACGGTGTTGGAACACATATTCAAAGAAAATGCACTATATGAAGTTGGCCGGTAACATCTCTCGGTCAGCTCTGAATTACATTTTTCACGAATCTAAACGAGCTTCTAATGTAGGTTCCGATAGCTCAAAGTATGGTTGCACGATTGTGAAAACATATGGACTCCCTTGTGCTTGTGTCATATCTAAGAAGATGAAAGTTGATTGCCCGATACAGATGGACGAGGTCTTCAATCATTGGAAGCAACTTAGTTTTTGTCTGGACTGGGCCTGCTCTTGGCCCAACCCAACTATGTTGCTTAAGAAGGCCTGCTGACCGAATCTACCCTCGACTATGTCGGGCAGTAACCCCCACTCTTCGATAAGATGCAGCTTTGCCATACAGGGATAAATCCAGGAAATGCGAGGAGGTTCATCACCGGTCAAGAGGACCTCGGGAGCATCCTCTAGTCTTCTCGTCGACCAAGACCAATCCTCCCGGACGACCTCATAGCTGGCGGGGAGAATCCATGATGGGCAGAAGTACCTCACAAGCATCCTCCTCATAGGGATGACTCTCAACACCTTTGAATACCACAAAGTCCTCTTGGCCCCAAAAAGACCGCATCTATAT